TTTGAAAATTTTTAAAGAACTTTTTCAAAAATTATTAAAATTAATGCATTTTTAGAAGAATTTTAGTAAGAAACACAAAAAAAATTTAGTTTTGGAAAAGTTACAAATTATTGCAGAAATTCAATTTTTTCATAAATAATAAAATCTTTTCAGGGATTCAATTGTTTTCGTAATTATTAAAAATAATTGATAATTGATTTATAATAGAAGAATTTTAGTTAAAAATACGAAAAAAGATTTAATTTTGAAAATAGTTACAAATTATTGCAAAAATTCAATTATTTTCATAAATAATAGAATTTTTACAGGGATTAAATTATTTTCGTGCCAATTATTAAAAAAATGCATTTATAGAAGATGTTTAGTTAAAAACACGAAATAAAATTAAATATTGTACAAGTTACGAATTATTGCAAAAATTCTTCTTAGGGATTCAATTATTTTCAATATAATTTTAATTAAATTTCTCGAAAAATGTAGTTATTCTTCAAAAATTTTATTAAAATTCGTTGATAGAATTCAATTATTTGAAAATTTGTTAATAACGATTCTTTATGGGACTTGAATTTTAAGAAACATTCAATTATTCAATAAATTATTTAATTGCATTTTATTTGTATTTAAATAATTGAGTTCTAATTTCCAGTAGAATTTTCTAATAAAAATTGATTTAAAAATTATTTTCAGTTAAAATTTTAGATAATTGAATATTAGAAGCATTCGAATTTTTAGAAATAATTGAATTTTGAAAAATTCATTTTTTTGAAAAAGTTTAATTGAATTTTTTAAATATTATTTTGAGTTTTTATTTTCTAATATTTATTTAGTTTTTCGAAAATTATTAAAAATAATCGATTTAAAGAAGAATTTTATTTAAAAATTCTTGTAAATAATAATTGAATTGTAAATGATATTATCACTCTGTCATCTTTACTATAAAACATGAAGAAATCGATCACTCCGAGTCGAAGACTCGGAGTGATCGATATCTTAATGTTTCATAGTTATGAAAAATTTAATTTATAGTGAAAAAAATCTTTTCTTATTTCTTTTCTTTTTAGTAAAATTATGAATTTTCCCCAGAAAATATATTAATCCAATAAAAAAAATCTTCAATTCATGACAATAAATTAATTTCATGAGTAAAATAGAAACAATTTTTTTGCAAATTGTTTTATTTTATTCACGACCATTATTGCAATTTAATAATTAATCAACTTTAAAATTAAAAAAAAAAAGTACAATTCAAATATTCATCGCGATATTCTACTTTTTTATTGACTATATAGTTAGTTATTCAGGTGGTATTTTTAACGATGTATAATATCGACTTTGCGCAGATCGATATTGTTTTGTTAAAGAGAAATAATGACAAAGTCTATAATCCACACGATTATGATTGCTATCTAAATTTTTCGAAATGAGGGCATTACATTTTCCCCCAAGTATAATAAATGCATTAACCAACATTTTCAAGTTAAATTTAATAATAAAGTTAGAATAAAGATTAATATCGCAAAGAGAATACATATATTGTTTATATTAAATAATACAAATCGTATATAGTAGGTTATTACTGAACTTTCCTGTAAATTTTGTTTATTGAAAAGAAGTATGAAAAGTTTACTGTATTTTCGAGCTAAAATTTATAAACTTTTTTTCTCACATTCGTTTTACAATTTTTACTATATTTGGAGAATGTAGATTTTACTTTATTTTTATTCGCAAAAAAATGAGAAATTTCGCCATTTTACAAAAACTGCGCGGATTTTCTATTAAATTTATAAAAGTTAATAGAAAAAAAATGTCAATTTTCTAAATAACTTTATAACTATTTTCTTTTTTTCTATATATAGGAAATAATTTTAATTGCCAAATATAAAAGAGGAGGAAAAAAAACAAACGACGGGGCCAATTTAAAAGTTTATTTCGTAGTTTTTTCATTTAAACGAAATCGCATTTTTTTTTTGTTTTTATTAACAAATATAAAATTTCATTTGACGTGAATGCAAATAAAATTTTTCCCTAGGTACTGTTTTATTGCAGGGTCATTCAGTAAATATAGTATAACTTTACTGCTACTGAATATAAACCGGCTGTAAATATTAATGAGTATTATTAAATGGAAGCTCTACTCATTATATTTTGTATATATATTTTTTTAAAAACGATTTCGTAATTTTTTTTTAATTATTTAAAAATTATGATCCACTATAGTTGTGAGCAAAAATGAAGTAAATTTTTTTTGCCAATATTATAAATATTTTCATTAAAAAAAATTGATTGACTGTTATGGAAATAAAAATTTCTCTAAAATTTTGATCAATATTTTTATGACTTTTTTAATATTATTTTTGTTTTTTATAATTAAAAAATAATTTTTTCACTAAATATTTTTCATTTCAGTTCGGTAATTTTTAAACAAGAGTAGAGAAAATTATTTCGTTTAATTAAATGTTTAGAAAATTAGGAAAATAAATCAAAAGCAAACTTTATAATTTATTTTTTTATTGTATCGCAATATCTTTGCAATAAATTTTAATTTGAAGAAGAAAATCAATAAATTCGGTTCATTTGAACTAGAACTTTAGAAATATGAAAAATTACTTAAGAAAAGGGAATTATTATACAGATATAGGTACAGGGAATGTAAAAATTAATTTTATATTTCTCTCCGATTTCATTGTAATTTGAACGATAATAATTTAATAAGTTATTGGAAATTTCATTCGCTTTTCCATTGATAAAGCAATTAGAATATACGATCGAAATTTTCTGTACGTGTTTCTGTTAATATTTTAGTCGTACTTTTTTTTTTAACTGATGAGTCAGTGAAAAATGACTCGAATTTTAATGAGAATTGATGTATATTCAGTAATTATTCAGTTTTATTAATTTTTTCCAATTTAAACTATTTTGTTCTCAGCTTTTTTTCATTGTTCTCGTGTTTCTTTCTATTAACAAATTTTTTTTTATTGTTGTACTTTTTATTGTTCTAATTTTTTTTTTTGCCTTTTGAATTTATTTTTTTTTATGAACAATATTTAGAAGATATTTTTTACTCGATTGTCGAAATGGGTTATTGTAAAATTTGTAAGATTAAAATAATTCTTAGATAAAATTCTGTGATAATAATAATTTATTTAAGGGGTTGAGTTTTTACTGTTTAAATTTAATTGAGAATAAAATTATTAAAGAATTAATTTTATTTGAGAATCGTTCAAAATTTTGATATTTTGCAATAAGACAGTTTCATAAGAGCTTGGAAAATGTTATTTAATTGTTTATTGAAGAGCAAATGCACTGATTATCAGTAAAATTCTACTCTTCATTAAAATTTGATTCATTATTAGTATAATTTCATTAATTCTTAGTAAAATTCCACTAGTTATCAGTAAAGTTCCACTGATTATCAGCACAATCCTACTGATTGTCAGGAAAATTCCTCTGATTGATGGTTTCTTATAGCAGTTGAAATAATTTAAATTAGAATGAATTTCTACTAATTTTATGTAGTTTTTGACAACAATTAATTTTCGTTCTAAATTTAAATTAGTTAAACATGACTGATTGTCAGTAGAAAATCCCACTGACAATCAGTGAACTTTTACTGATTCATAATGTATTCCAAATGACAATCGTCGAAATTGAACTGATTCTCTATGAATTCCAACTGATAATCAGCGAAATTTAAAATAAAATGATTGTTAGTAAGAAATCCTACTGACAATCAGTGAAATTTTACTGATTCTTAATGTATTTAAACTGACAATCGGCGAAATTGAACTTATTCTCACTGAATTTCAACTGACAATCATCAAATTCCTACTGATAATCAGTAAAATTTCAAATAAACTTATTGTCCTACTGACAATTAGTGAAATTTTACTGATTCTTAATGAATTTCTACTGAAAATCGATGACATTTAACTGATTCTCACTTATTCCTACTGACAATCAGCGATATTTAACTGATTCTCAATGAATTCCTACTGATAATTAGAAAAATTTTAAATAAACTGATTGTCCTACCTGCAATCAGTTAAATTTTACTGATTCTTAATGAATTCCTACTGGCAATCATCGATATTGAACTGATTCTCAATTAGTTCCTACTGATAATCAGTAAAATTCAACTGATCCTCAATTAGTTCCTACTGATAATCAGTAAAATTTAACTGATTCTCAATTAGTTCCTACTGATAATCAGTAAAATTTAAAATAAACTGATTGTCCTACTGACAATCAGTTAAATTTTACTGATTGTCAGTAGTACAATCAGTTTATTTTAAATTTTACTGATTATAAGTAGGAACTAATTGAGAATCATTTAAATTTTGCTAATTTTCTGTAGGAATTCAGTGAGAATTAGTTCAACATCGTTGATTGACAGTAGGAATTAATTAATGATTAGTCAAATTTCACTGATTGTCAGTAGGACAATCAGTTTATTTTCAATTTTACTGATTATCATTAGGAATTCACTGAGAATCAGTTTAATTTTGCCTATTATCAGTAGGAATTCATTAACAATCATTAAAATTTCACTGATTGTCAGTAGGATTTCCTACTGACAGTCAGTTTATTTTAAATTTAGCTGATTATCAGTAGAAATTCATAGAATATAAATTCAATTTCGCCGATTGTCTGTAGGAATACATTAAGAATCAGTAAATTTTCACTGATTCACAGTAGGATTTCCTACTGACAATCAGTTTATATTAAATTTTACTGATTGTCAGTGAATTTCTACTAGTAATTAGTTACATTTAAAATAAACTGATTGTCCTACTGACAGTCAGTGCAATTTTACTGATTCTTAATGAATTCCTATTGACAATCAGCGAAAATTTACTTATTCTCAATGAATTCCTACTGACAATTAGTAAAATTTAACTGATTGTCAGTAAAAATGTTACTGATTGATTTAGTGAAAGAGTTTTAATTATACAATTAGTAAGATTTCACTGATTGATTCAGTGGAAGAGTTTTAATTATACAATCAGTTAGATTTCACTGATTCAAATGTAGAGTGTTTATCTTTCTTGGAAGCACGACGCATATATTTATATTACAAAAAATGGAATTGTCTTTAAATAATTTTCCCAAAAAAAAGACTTCTGTTTATTTTCTTCTCTCCATTTGTTTCTCGTTTTTGAAATCCATTGACAACTTATGAATTCAGCATGAAAATTGAAAAGAACTGAAAACATTAATTTTCCCGGTAAAGAAAAAAATGATAATTTGCAATTTTGAAATTATTTTTTGACGGGCTCAAAAATACCTTATAAAATGACGCTACTGCGAAAAACCGCCCCTCTTCCTTCTCACCATCCCCTGTATCACCTCCCCGCCTCCTACTATGAAGCGTTCCCCACCGTTAACGCTTCTTATAACTACTTCTCTCTCGCTCTCACACTTGCGCGCGCGCTCTTGTTTGTTCTCTTTTCTGTTCTTAAACGTCGACAGAACAACTTAGGGCCGCGAACCTTTCGCTCCACGCTGTTATTCCGGTATTTTCAAATATCATTAATTAAACGCCGCGAACGTTTAATTCGTGTTCAATCATTGTTGTTATTGTTATTGTTTCTCTCGCCAATAAAAAAGAGACAAAGTGTTGTTACTCCAAAAAAATAAAAAAAAAAAAAAAAAAAAAAAAAAAGAGTTGGCAGTGAGTGTGCGCCTTTTATTTTTTTTGTTTTTTGCGTCGTGAGTCAATTTTTTGTTTGTTATTGTTGTTAACATTTCTCCTTCTTTCACAATAAAAAGAAGCATCAGGAAAAACAAGGAAAATAAATGACGCGCCGTGGCTGTGCCGGTGTTTTATTTAGTGGATTCTTAATGAAAATTTCTCCTCTATGGAACTCTGGAACGACGCCGGTATTATTTCATTAGAGTGGAGACTGCAACCACGCCGAAAATATATAGTAGATAGATAGTGAGAGATAGAGAAAGAAGGAAGGAGAGTGAAAAAGAGTGTGTGAAAAACCCTCGTGCGTGAGTGAGCGTCATCCAACAATAAAAAAAAAGAAAAAAAAAATAATAATCGAGAGGAAAAAAAACGAAAAAGCAGTGGTTCTTTTATTGGCGAAAAAATTTTATAAACGTGAGTACTGAAATTTTTTTTTTATTTCAGCCCCTCCCTGTTTTTTTTATTCAGGCATCTATTTCATCGATACATTATATTTATTCAGATTGGAAAAACAAATTTTTTTCTGGATAAAAAATTTATTCACCTTGTTTGTTTTTCACAACAACAAAAAAAAAAACCGCATGGCTTGCTCCATGAGATGTTAATTTTTGCGCGTAACTATTGTTCACATTCTCGTTGGCGAATAATTTTTTTTTGGTGCAAATGATGAAAAAAATGAAATTGGTCCGAAATAAAGAAATATCTCGCGCCTTTATTTGACAAGTGTGCGTGAATCACACGTGCGAGTGTGGTGCCCACATGAGAGAGTGATGGAGAGAGAGAAAAAGAGAGACAGAGAGGAAAGGGCGGGAAGGAAATTGAGAGAGGGACAAATTTCTCTATCTCTCTCTCCTTCTCTCTTGAAGTACGGTTTTACATGTCAACTTTGTGTACTGCACATCTCTCTTTGCCCTCTCATGTCTCTCCCTCTCTTTTTTACTCTTTTCCTCTCATTCTCTTTTCCTCTCTTTCTATTTTTCTCTCTTTCTCTCTATTTCGCTCTTTTACTCTCCTTTACTCTCCCAGTGTCTCAGTAATTCATCATTATATTCCTCTAGACATTTCTTACTCAGCCTGTACATGAAATTGTCTCCCGTCAATTTCTGCGAAATAAAAAAAAAGGAAAAAAAAAATATAAAAATTATCTAAAATAATCGGTGCGTCACGCCTCCTTTTCGAAGCGTGTTTATCGTGTTGTGTGCGTCTCTCTCTTTCGTGTATGTGTGTCTGTCTGATGGTATGGAGACCATTTTTTCGAGAATTTCATTTTGTGTTTTTGTGTTGTGTTCCCTCCCTCCCCCCCGCACTCTCCCCTTCTCTAATGCCGCAGTGCGACGTGTACATTAATTTAACTTGCAATTATTATTGGCCATTAAAAAATAAAAAAAAAAAAATTGTATTATAGAACATTTTCATGTTATTAGCAGGCGTTTTCCATTTGAAAATTTATTTTTATTTCACGTTCATTGGAATTTTTTTTCAGCAGCAATTTTTTTTTTTTTCTTTTTGCATTCATTCTTTGACGCGTTTATCATTTAAAATGAATACAAAGTTCATTGTTTGGTATTTATCGAATTTTTATTCATTTAACATGTTCTTTTTTTTGTTGTTAATAATGTAATGTAGTTTTTTTTTTCTCTTTATATAACTTTTTTTGTGCAATTTTTTTTTTTGGTTATAAATAACGAGTTGGTGAAACTTTATATGTTTATGATCAATAAGTTGGGAGAAACAATTTTTTTCTAAGCATTTTTTATGAATTTTTTGCGTGGAAAAAAATTTGTAATTTGTGAGAAAATTTTTTTGAATTTTTTTCTCATTAAACTTTTATAATTTTTTGAGTGAAAAATTTTTTTGTGAGCAAATTTTTTGAATTTCTTGCGTTGGAAAATTTTTTTCTAATCAAAGTTTTAAAATTTTTTGAGTGGGAAAATTTATTGTCAGCAAATTTTTTGAATTTTTTGTGTGAAAAATTTTTTTCTAATCAAACTTTTATAATTTATTTATTGAAAAATTTTATCGTCAGCAAATTTTTTGCATTTTTTGTGTGAAACATTTTTTTCTTTTAAAAAACTTTTATAATTTTTTGAGTGAAAAATTTTGTTAGAAAATTTTTTGAATTACAAATTGTTTTCTAAGCAAAGTTTTATAATTTTTTGCGAGCTAAATTTTATATGCAACCATTTATGGATTTTTTAAAAAATAAAAATTTGTGAGAAGAAAAATTTTATTCTTTTGTGAAAAATAATTTTTTTCCCATTTGTTTATTATTATTATTATTATTATTATTATTATTATTATTATTATTATTATTATTATTATTTGATATTATTTTATAAATCTATTTTTTTATCATATTCTTTTCCTTTTTTTTTGGTTTGTATTTTTAAATAAAATTATTTCTTTTTATTTTCTTGTTCTTTATTATTATTCATATTTTTATATTGTAACTACTATTGTTATTATTTTTTTTAATTTTACATTTTTTTATTATCTCTAATGTGAAGATTCATATTCATGGTGAAATGCATTGAAAAATTTAGAGAAAATAAAAAAAAAGAAACTTCATGACCTAAATTTTTGACATTAAAGAACAATTGCTTTTTTATTTCCAAGACTAAAGGCGACAGCGCAATACAGAATTTTTATTAAAAAAAAAAGATGTGCAAAAAATGACATAAAACAGAAATTTTACTTTATACATTTTTTTTATTCATTTACTATTCATTTTTTGTTTGTTTATCATTTATTTTTTTTTTGTTTATTTAATTATTTTAGAATTAAATTGTTAACCGAATAACAACAACAACAATAATAATAATAATAATAATAATAATAATAATAATAATAATAATAATAAAAATTATAGTAGTTAGGATTTATAATTATTATTTATAATTATAATATTTATAATAATATAATAATTGTAATTCTTATAATAATATTCGTAAATTAATAATACATAATAATAATTTATTTTTCATTTTTAATTATGTCTATAATTATAATTTTTTTATTCATTTGTGGTTTATCTAAAATTTATTTTCTGATATTTGGTATTTAATATTCATTAATTTTAATATTATTTAAAATCGATATTTGTATTGAAAATATTATCACGATAGTTATAATAATAAAGATTCATTAATTCGGAAAATTCATATCATATTTGATTAAAATTCATTAGTTTCGCAATTGATTTATTTTCGTGTATTATATTTTTTTCATTATTTTATTTTTCTTCTTAATTTTTTTACTCTATTGATTATTCGAATAATTATTAAAATTTTTGTTTAATTAAATTTTATAGATAACACGAAAAAAATTAGTTTATTCCAAGTATTTAATTTATTCTGAATTTTTTCTATTGTTACTCTTATTATTATTATTATCATCATCACTATTATCATTCTTATTATTATTTATTAATTATTATTATTGTTATTAATAATAATAATATTATTAGTAATATTACTTTGAATTTTGTTTACTGGGGAAGTAGAAAAACTGCAATAATATTAATATAGTAAAAATAATTATTTTTATTAATATTATTACTTATAAAATTATTATTGTTGTTGTTATTGTTCGAAAATTTCTCAATTGTGAAATTTCTTGCTATATGGGATATTGTTTGAAGTTGATGCTTTCCAAGTGTGTTTTTCGCAGTGTTGAGAGAGTGAGAAAGAGAGATAGAGAGAGAGAAATTCGAGTTATGTAGGGGAGGGGAAGGGTCGGGTATATTTTTTTGCGATTTTGTTTACCTCGGTTGAAAGTGAAAGAAAGGAAACGGTTGAGGTTTGATTTTTTTAAGTATCACAACCGGTTTCGGCTTGTAAATTTCAAAGGCCTCATTTCGAAGATACAGAATTTTGCTTCGTAGGCAACTCCTCCCTCCATAATCCAAGCGTGGAATTTTTTTTTTTTTCTTCTTTTTTGTTTTTGAAAAAATCCTTCAACAGTGAAAAGCCATATTCCAATTATTAAAACAAAAAAAAAAGAGGAAAGAAAAAAAAACGATTTCGACTTTGAGACCGTCATCATACGGAAATAGAAATTCTTTGGTTTTAATGGTACGTGTTTTTTTTCTGTTTTCTTTGTGCGTGTGTGGTTTTTTAATTAAGACACTCTGTTCGGCTGTTAGTTTCCTGTTATTTTTAAAACTTGCTATCGGTTTCTTCATTGTCTGATGAAAAAAGAATAAAAAAGGTTTTTGCCGTCTCGTCATTTTTTTTTGAAATTTCTTTTTTTCTTTTGCAATTTTCTATTTGCGTACTTTTTTGTTCTCTTGTCGTATTTTTCTATTTTCGTATTTTTATTTGTTTTCTATTTTTGAATTTCTGGTTTCGATTTTTGGGCATTTTTGCAATTTTTACTGTTTTGCAATTTTGCAATTCTTAACTTTTTGGAAAAAATGCAGTAAAAAATTTTTCCGTTTTCAATTTTTGGCACTTTTTGTACTTTTTACTGTTTTGCCATTTTCGAATTGTTTACTTTCGGGCAAAATGGAGTAACATTTTTTTTGTTCTCAATTTTTTGGAATTTTTTTTTTTGCAAATTTTTAAACAGTTAACTTTTAGGGAAAAAGTGAAGTAAAAATTTTTGCCTTTTTGGTACTTTTTGTACTTTTTATTGTTTTGCAATTTTCGAATTGTTTACTTTCGGGAAAAATGCAGTAAAATTTTTTCTGGTTTCAATTTTAGGTAATTTTGGTGTTTTCTTTGCTAAATTCGAATTCCTAACTTTTAGGGGAAAAGTGCAGTAAAAATTGTTCTGCTTTCAATTTTTTTGCATTTTTGTTAATTTTGTCACTCTTTAGTTTTGCAATTTTCGAATTATTATTAACTTTTAGGGAAAAAGGGGAAGTGAAAATTTCCGAAATTCTTCTCTTTTGTAGAATGTGCAATTTTCGTTTGAAATTTTGCCCAACCAGACGGGGGTTTAAAAAATTACGTTTTGAAAAAATTTTTCCATAACTCTATATTAGTCATATATCAGTTCGCCCTCGCAATATAGGAGTTGAAGAGTCTAAGCCAACTTTAGCTATTTATCGTTGAAAATTGAGAAAAAAATTCTCCACTCCTACACCCGCATGAAATATGAAATTGCAAAAAAAAATTCTTTTCTGTTAAACATTGCGTTCGTAAAATGAAAATTTCGCAATTTATATCTTATTCTCGAGTATTAAAATATGAATTTCTTTTTTTTTTTTTTTTTTTTTGCTTTTGTTCTATTTTTGTTACTTTTTCGTTTTGTTTTTTCTTCGTCAACATTTTTTTGGTATTAAAAAATGGTTAATTTGGTCGAAATTAAAATTGACGTTTGCTAATAATTTTCGCGCAAATTCTGCTGAATAAGCAATAGAGGGCGAGTGTGTTTAAACTTTTGCGATTTTCTCTTTTATTGTTATATGCAACATTCAAAATCAAATAATAAGTAATATGTATTTAATATTACTCTATTTCGATTGTCAGCAATTAACAGTGAAATGCAAGGAAAACAGTTGGCAAAAAGAGTAAATTTCAACAAATTTCGCCTCACATTTTCTATATTTGTATTTCTAAGTCCAGATAACACGCTCTAAAAAACATGCGATAAAATTGCGATACAAAAAAAAATTTATATATTAGAAAGTCAAATCAAAATTCTGAAAAATATTAAATGTAAATAAATAAATAAATGGAAAAATCGATATTAAGATATGGAAAAATGCGATTCTTTTTTTTTGAACAATACTTTTTATATATTGAAATAAATATTGCAAAGTAAAATTCATTTACTGTGTGTTGCAATAAAATATTCATAGAATATTATAGTTCGATAAGGATTCGCAGATAAATCCCGTTATACACTTCCAATATGGATAAAGTTTTAACATCAAAGTCACAATCACGAGCGTAAAAGTTGGCTCTCGCTTCCTTTGTCCAGCCTCTGATTAAAGTACGAAATGTTCATCACTAAACTTTAATTGCATATTTCCCGTAATATCTTTCTCTTGCATTTTCAGTTATTCAAATTGCTCTATATATAACACCACACGCGAGTTGAGTTTCGTATATCGACGTCAATCGTATATACAATTTTTGCATAATCGTTGACAAGATAATAAGATATATATCGAAATATATATACATATATTGTATGTCTGAGAAATTTGCAAATTGCGCATAATTTTTTTTTTTCTTTTTCCTCCAATGCATTTATTTTTGTTTTTATCCATTTATATAGTTTAGTGCCTTTAGGTTCTTTCATTCATTCATGATTGTTTGTTCATTAAACAATTTTGAAGTAAACATATATCTATATATATATACATACAATTGAATTATAGTTTTGAAAAAGTTTGTTATATTTCCAAATGTTTTTTGAACGAAATAATTAATTTTTTCTAAAAATTTAATTATTCAAAATTTTATGATTAAACTCTGAATTTTAAAATGAACGAAATAAAATTTTTATTACAATAATTTTGAGTTACTATAAAAATAATTAATTAAAAAGTTTCTAAATGCAAAAATTGAGTTTTTAAATTTTTTGCAATCAGTAATTTAAGTAAATATTTTTAATGAAAAATATTTCGTTTATTTGAACGTTCAAAATTTGTAATAACTATTTTTTGGAAATTTTCATTTTTACATAATTCCTTTTTAAATTTTTAATACTGGGTAAATTTATTTATTTTTCCATTTTAAATTGATTAAATTATGTTAAGAAATTTTTTTTGACAAAAAATTGAGAAAAAAATATTTATTCATTTTTCTTTTTTAAATTGATTAAAAAAACTACGTTAACAAATTTTTATTTTGAGAAAAATATTGAGGAAAAAATATTTATTCATTTTTCTTTTCTAAATATTTGCTAAAGAAATGTAAACAATTTTTTAGACAACAATTTGAATGGAAAAATATTTTCATTTTTCTTTTTTTAAATTATTGATGAAGAAATTGCGTAAAAAATTTTTTTAGACAAACATTTTTGGTAGAAAAATACTTTTCTTCTTTTTTAATATATAAATAATTGATTGTAAATGTTGTGATAATAATAATAATTATAATTTTGTATAAAAATATTATTAATAATGATAATGATAATAATAATGATAATGGTAATTGTAATAATAATAATGATAATGATAATAATAATGGTAATGATAATAACAATAATGATAATAATAATAAAAATATTGTGTAAAGTACTTATTAAAAATATAAAATTTCTAAACGTTTTAATTTACGTCCAGAAAAAAGATTTTTTTAAAAAACATTCTTCTTTTTTTTAAACTTTTATTTGCTTTATTAGAAGAATATTTTCTTTGCTATATAAAAAAATCGTGATTAAATTATAAAGAAAATTCGTTCTATAAATCAAGAAAAAAAATATTGCATTGCCATAAAAAAATTTCATTCAATATTAAAACCAAGATTTCTTTGAATCAAAAGAAAACGTAATTAGAATTTCTTTAAATCAAAGAAATAATTCTTTTCAATTAAACAACTACAGACGAATAAGAAGAGAGTGTTTTTTTTCCTGAATCAACAAAAACTTTTTTCTGGGTGTAGAATTTTTCTTTTTATTCCAATTCACTATAAATTTTTTCTTTTTGCTTGAAAATATTTATATTTTGACTTAATATTTTGTTCATTTTAAAATTTAAACTTTCAGAATTCTATCTTTTTTATAAATGATAATAATTTTAAAAAATATTAATTTGATTATTTATTTTGGCTCTTAAAAAAAAAGATTTTTTATTTATCTTTATAAATAGCAAAATTCTTCGTTTAAATTCAATTATATTCAGGAATTTTTATAATGTTCGTTGTAAAATTCAATTATTTTCATAAATAACAATATTCATCAGAAGCATTCAATTATTTTCAAAATTAATTAAATTCTTTGCAGAAATTCAATTATTTTCAAAGAATCAAAAAAAAAAAAAAATTGTCATCAACATTTCAATTATCTTTATAATTGAATAGCAAAATTCTACGACAAAATTCAATTATTTTCAGAAATTTTAATAAAATTCATTGCAAAATTCAATTGTTTTCATAAATAATAGTATTCGGCACAAGAATTCAATTATTTTTAGAAGTAATAAAATTTAATTATTTGAAAAATTTTAATAAAATTCATGGCAAAATTTCAATTATTTTCAAAAAATTTTTCTTAATTTAATGATTTTTAATATTCTACTATTTTAATAAAATTTCTCAAAAGAATTTAATTATTTAAAAACAATTTTGACAAAGTTCTAAACGAATATTCAATTATCTTCTAAAATAATGAAAATTTCACAGGAATTCAATTATTAAAAATAGAATTTGCATACATTTTTTCGAAAAAAGTCAATTGTTGTAAACTTTTTTTTTATAAAATTCTTCGCAATCAATTATTTTCATAAATAATAAAACTCATTGCATAATTTTAATTATTTTTAATACAATTTTAATTAAATTCCTCAAAAAATGTAATTATTAATAAAAATTTTATTAAAATTTGTCGAAAGAATTCAGTTACTTAAAAATTTGTTGATAAAATTCTATATAAAAATTAAATTTTAAGAAACATTCATTCTTTTCTTAAATAAATTATTTACATTCGTATTTAAATAATTGAGTTCTCGTAAAATTTTCTAATAAAAATTGATTTAAACATTAATTTCATATAAAGTTTTAGATTTAACTTTGGAGAAGTTATTAATAATTGTAATTTTTAGAAATAATTGGACTTTGTAAAGGATTCAAATTAAATCTTTGATAATTTGAATTTTTTATACTTTCAATAAAAAATTGTATGGAACATACAAAAAAAAATTATTTTTTCAAAAAGTTTAATCTCAATTTTTTAAAATTATTTCAAGTTTTTATTTTCTAATGTATATTTAATTGAAGAATTTCCGAATAATCGAAATTTCGTTTTTTTTTTTTTTTTTGAGTATCTAATCATTTTTAAAGTGAATCAGAATATTTTTTAGGGTCAGGGAAAAAGTCAAAATTTTGTCTGGAAATCAGGGAAAAGAAAATTAAATTTTTGTGGCAACCCTGTAATAAGTTTTAATAACTTAAGAATAATATTAGTTTTGTGATTTTTTGTTATATTATTATTTTTATTATTATCATTATCATTATTATTTACATTTTCTCTAAGTTTTATACTTTTATCGATAATTTTCAATTCAAGTATATGAAAAGAAAAATAATTTAGCTTCCTAAAAATAGACTATTATAATATCGACTTTTGACAAACTTTTTCGAAATAATTCAAAAGAAATAGTTCCCGCAAAAGATTAGATAAAAAAAAAATGTAATTCGGTTCTAATATAATACGTATATATATGAAGGTGAAGTAAATAAAATTTCCTTTTTCCAGTTTTATAGCAGGCGTGTGTATCGATGAGCCTCTCCTCTCGTCTCCACTTTGTTCTGCATTGTGGTATGGGTCCAATGCCAGAAGAACTATAGGTATAGCTATAACTAATGACATACATAGAAGCCGTATAAAAAGATAAATCCTTTTTGAATTTAGTTTGTTCGATTTTTACTACCTTCCTGGTTAACGTGTGCACTGTTCCTCCTTTCATATATACACACACATACACACTCTCACACATTCGCATAAATTTTGGTTGTTTCTAGAAATGAAAAAAAAAAAATAATATCCATATTTTTGTGTATGTATATATGTTGTACCTCTTTATATGTACCTATATATATACACATACATATACTGCATGATGAATCGACTTCCTGCTCGTGCGTCACTGCTTAGTGGGGTTACAGCGAGCATTTTAAACTCCTCGATTCACATGAACCTTTAAGCTAGTGCCGTAAGCATTATTGCTGTCTACCACCTGTCTGCTGGTCGTGTAGCATGTTAGGAAATGAATGCAACAATTACATATATATATGTATATATATATATATATATATATGTACATTGTTGTTTTATGAGACAATAATTGGCGAACGGAATTCTCATTTGGAACGTTTAGTCTTTTTTTTGCATTATTTTCTTCTTTTTTCTTTAATTGAAAAAAAAACAAATTTTCAGTGTTATTTGCTAAAATATATATATATGTATGGTGTCCGCCCCCTTTTCTCATCCATATTCACATTTTTGTCGCACTTTTCATATTTATTTGCAATGTTGGTCCTCGATATTTTACAAGTTTCTAAAATTTACAGCTTTCATCGTGAAGATTTAGAGAGAATTTTTTTTTTTTTATAAAAATGAGTAATAATTTTCGTAATAATAATTTGATGTTTTGATGTGTTCAATATTTATGTGAAAAATATAATATAATTTGTATTTTTATATATTTAATTTTATAATATATAATGTATATTTTTTATTTGTAATATAAACTGAAATATTTTAATTATACAGTGTTGCCACAGGTCAGTGAAATCAGGGAATTTTAATAAAAATTCTGAAAAAAAATTAAATGTTTAGAATTTATGACAATATTCTCAATTTTTGTGTCTGACTTTATAAATTATAAAATTACCACGAATTCTAAAAAAAACATTAAATTTTTTCTATCTCTGACAATAAATATATTTTCACGCAATCTTAATAAATATTAAAATTCTTCCCAGAAATTCAATTATTTGTGGAAATTTTAATAAAATTCTTAGCAACTATTCAATTATTTTTAAAAATAATAAAATTCATTGGAGAATTTCAATTATCTTTAATATAATTTTACAGGAAATGCTCAAAAAATGTATATATTCTTAAAAATTTAATTTCAATTCATAAAAAAAAATCAATTATTTAAAAAAAATAATGTTTTTTTAAGATTCTTTGGAAGAATTCAATTATTTACAAAAATATTCAAGTTTTTTACAGGAATTCAATTATTTTCAAATATTTAAATAAAATTGTTCGAAAGAAATTAATTATTCTAAATATAATTTTAATTAAATTTTTTTGAAATAATTCAATTATTCCCGAAAATTAAATTACTTTAAGGCATTTTAATAAAATTCTTTGCATAATTCAGTTATTTTCATAAATATAACAATATTCATCACAAGAATTCAATTATTTTTAAAAGTAATAAATTTCTTCTTGGAAATTCAATTAATTTTAAAATTAATTTTCTTCTTGAAAATTCAATTATTTTAAAATGTAATAAATTTCTTCTTGGAAATTCAATTATTTTCATAAATAATAAAATGCTTTTTAGAAATTCAATTATTTTCAGGAATTTTAATAAAATTCGTTGCAAAATTCAATTAATTTCAAAAACTTTTCTTAATTCAATGATTTTCAATATTCTATTATTTTAATAAAATTTTAAAATTCTTTTCAGTGATTTATTTATTATAAATAACAATATTCATCACAAGAATTCAATTATTTTCAAAGGGAATAAAATTCAATTATTTTCAAAAATTTTACTAAAATTCATTGCATCAATTATTTTCAAAAATTGTTCTCAATTCAATAATTTGTATATCTTTTATTTTAATAAAATTTGCCAAAAGAATTTAATTATTTAAAAGCAATTTTGATAGAATTTCAATTACTTTTTAATACAATTTTAATCGAATTCCTCGAAAAATGTAATTACATTTTACATTCTTAAAAATGTTATTAAAATTCGTCCAAAGAATTAAATTTTTTAAAAATTTGTTGAAAAAATGATGTATGAGATTTCAATTTTAATATTCAATTATTCAATAAATTATCTGTTTTTATTTAAATAATTGAATTCTCCTGGAATTTTCTAATAAAAATTGATTTAAAAATTAATTTTAGTAAAAGTTTTAGATAATAATTGAATTTTTGGAGAAGTTACTAATAATTGCAATTTTTAGAAATAATTGAATTTTGTAAAAGTTTCAAATTAAAATCTTTAAAAATTTCAATTTTTCATACATTTAATTAAAAATTCTATATGAAACTAATTTTTTTCAAAAAGCTTAATCGAAATTTTTAAAAATTATTTCAAAGTTTTTATTTTCAAATGTATATTTAATTGAAGAATTTCCGATAAATTGGAATTTCTGTAAAATTGAATTGTAAACAAATGTATTTGAAAATTCTCAACAGAACTTTATTGAAAATTTATAAAAATAATTGATTTAAAGAAAAAAATTTAATTTAAAAATTGTAGAAAATTTTAATTGAATTGAAATGATAAAAATAATTTTGAAGGAGTTGTAACAATATTTTTATATTATTCTTCATGTTTTACAAAAATATTTCTGTTAGTTATTGAATTTCAACATGTTTGAAATTGAAATTTTTGGAAAATCGTAATTTCTATGGAAAAATAATAATTGAATATTCATTTAAAAAGAATTTATTGGTGTTTTTGAATAATTTTACAATTAAAGAAATTAATGGCAATTTAAATAAATAAAATAAGTAAATTAACAAAAAAGTATTCGCTTTATTAATTTTTTTTATAATTTAAAAATATTTCAGTTATAATATAAAATATATATTATTCGTATAAAATATAACATATATTTAATACATATTTATAATATATTTTTTGCAATAAATAATTAAACACTCGTACTTCTTCCATTTTTACTGTCAATTATAAGCAGAGAATAATTTTCTTATTTTTTGGTGTAAAGAAGAAAAAAAAGCAAGTCTCAGAAAAAATTTTGAAAAATGAATATGTTTAAAATTATAAGAATTTATCTGAAGATAGAACTGCATGATCTTTCTTCGCATATATATATTTATATATATATATATGTATATAATAGATATAAAATGAGACACTTGCTGATTATTTGTTATTTCTTGAGCTTTTTATTTCACGCACACTGCAGTTTCATCTCGCGAAGAATGTGGAGGCAACTGCAAATCAAGATTTTATCTTGATGGTTTTATTAAATTCTACTTTTTCAAGTTCCAATATCTAAGAGAGTGGGATTTCCGGCCTTCCTTTGAAGACATCAAATTATTGTCGATAATAATAATAAATGACAAGAATAAAAGAGAGAGAAAAAAATGAACAATAATTACTGTCTATGTTGATAATGTAAATATCATTTTTTTTTACAAAAAAATTATTTTTACAAAAAAAATTATTATTACAAAAGTGATGTACATATTTTTGTACAAGTGTTAATATTTTTTATAAACGCTTTTTGTCTACATTCTTGTTAAATTTTTATCGGAGTGTTTAGTGTTCTTTATTCATTTTTTGATAAATACAAAAATTGAATTTTTATTTTTATACAAATAAATAAAATTGCGGAGAAAATGTGGTGGATACAATCAGTTGTTATTTTAATAAAAGTTTATTGACCCTAAACATTAGAAAGCTTTCGAAAATTCAGTCAAAATACTAACAATGAATTATTTTTTACAGTTTCGAATAATTTAGAGATTTAAAATTCTTGTGACCACAACATTTTCTATAATATTCCCTTTGCAATAGGTTTTCAAAGGTTTTTTTTGTCTCTTCTCAAAAGAAAACTTTTTTGTCTGTTAAATTTTTTGTTTTGTTTCCCCACTGCTTTTTAAACCCCCTCCTAAATAGTGAAGTGTTTTTGGATTTTTTATTTCTCTTCCTTTCCAAGTGTCAGTTTTCCTTTTTTTATTCGGCGAATAAAAATTGAATTAATTATTAAATAAAATGTGGTAGGTATTTTTTTGAGGAAGTTTTGTTATATTGGTGTTTTCTCGAAAACAGGTTTTTATAGAATTTTGTTCTTCTGTTTGAAAAAACTACAAAATTGCGAATTGTATATATTCTTTTTATTTTCTTTTTGGCGTTTCCAGATCATCTTATTAGGTAAGGAGGATTTGTGTAGATTTGAAAAGTTGTTTATTTTTAAAAGTGCTTAGAACGCAATTCTATTATGTAAAAGCTCAAAGTGTTAAATGGCTTTTTATCGCTATAATAGGCTCGTAAGAAAATACACATACAAAAGAGAAGAAGTATGACTATAAAATTTCTCTGGAATGCCTTTTTTAAGTATAAAAAAAATTCCAAAAAAGCAGAAAAAAAATTACTCTCGAGCATACTTGAAATAATTTCAAGTAGCTTTATATTTTTCTTTTTTTTTAAGACGAACATTAAAAAATAAGCGTTCTTTGTTTTTAGGAAAAAATTTTCTTACTTTTACTTTGTCGTAAGGAGAACAAATATTTTCTGTTTATTTTTTTATTTTTGCAAAAAAAATCTTATGCAATTTTTCTATTTTTGCAAAAAAAAAATTTTTTTTTTGGAAGTTTTGATTTTAAAAAATATTTTAGTTTTGATAACAAATTTTACTACTCTAAGGAAAATTTTATTGCTAGGTAAATATAAAGAAAATAAATATGTGAGAAATATAAAAAATAAAAAGTATAAAAAATAAAAATGCAAAAAATAAAAATGTAGAAAAAAAAAAAAAAAAAAAAAAAAAATACAAAATATAAAAGTGAAAAATATAAAAAATATATAAAAATGAAAAATGTAAAAAGGAGGAAAATAAAAAGTATAAAGAATATAAAAGTAAAAAGAAAAATTAAAAAAGAATTAAAAAGAATGAAAAATAGAAAAAAATATTTTATTGATAATTTTCAGTACCAGGTACAATATTCTTTTTTCTAAAAGCGCTTTCAGACAATTTTATAGTTATATATAAATTAGCGTTGAATTGGAAAAAAAACTCGTTTTTTTTCTCCCTAGATTTTGAAATATGTCCATTATGTCATCAATGCGATAGACGAAACAAACAAAATCAGGGTTTGATGACCGCAAAAGCTTAAAACGGTGCTGTTGTGACTTTGGATCACGCAACTGGAAGTACGTCCGTTGCCTTATAAATACAGTTGCTGTCTTCTTTTTTTTTTTTTTTAACAAAAAAATCCCCTCAGGAGTCTCTTAACCGTTTCATTTCGAGGCAGTAGTTCAATGCAAAATAATGATAGTTATTGAAAAACATTTTCTAAAAGGCGCATTCCACATTTGCCATTTAAATGAAAGATAAATAAGGATCTCTTGAATTTAGCGTCGACGCTAAAGCGTAAAAAGATTTTTCTTTCTGTGAAACGAAAAAAAAAATAATAATTACAGTTTATTGAGGTAAATTACAATTTACAAACAGATTTCAATTTTGAAACAAATTACACTTTTGAAGCAAATTACAATTTTGAAACGATTTACACTTTTGAAGCAAATTATAATTTTGAAACATAATTGCAATTTGCTTTAAAACTATATATTAAAAAATTGTAATTTAAATTGCAATTTTTTGAGATTTTAGATTCAAGAAGTGCTATGAAAAATTAGGAGAATTTGGTACTGAACGAATCAGTAAAATTAGTGAAATTAGTTTGACAATAA